CGGTGCATCAAATAGATTACGTTCTCGTCCGTTCACGATGGGTTTCTTCGATTGAAGACTGTCGTTCCTATCGCGGGGCTGAATGCGGGAACCAAAGCGGATCTGATCACGTACTAGTTCGCGCGAAAGTCAGACTCCATCTAACAACCCGCAGGAAGTCCGTCCCCTCAAAACGCCTAGATGTGTTTTCACTGGAGAAAAGCGAAAAATGTCAGACAATAATGGACATGAAAAGTGCACAGCTGTCAAACAACCACCTCAGTACACAAGGTAACACAGGGAGCTCGGTTGAAACTCAGTGGAGCAGGTTGAAGTCATCGGTACAACAAGCTGCTCTACACGCGTTAGGCACAAGACCACGTCGTCTGAAGGACTGGATATCCAGTCGCACCATCCATTTAGCTAATGCGGCCAGAGAAGCTCGTCTAGCTCAATCCTCTGCTTATCGCGATCTCAGGCGACAAGCAACACGATCAGCCAGAAATGACAGATGCAACTACTGGAACGAAATGGCTACTAAAATGGAGACAGCAGATAACCTGTGTAACACGGCGACCCTCTTCCGTCTTATTCGATCAGCATCGAGCAAGAATCAAGTCACCCACTCTGGGCTGCACAGTGCCTCCAGTGAGCTCATCTCCGATGTGCAGGGAAAAATGTCTCAGTGGGTGAAACACTTAAATCTTCTTCTCAACCGCCGTCAAATCCAACCACCATGTGCGTCCTCCTCGCCATCTTCTCCGTACGAAGTTAACTGCGCTCCGCCATCAGTAGAAGAAGTCTCAGATATTATCAGGCATCTTAAACTACGGAAATCTCCCGGTGAGGACGGGACACCCTCCGAAATCTACGCGAAGTGTTCTTCAGCTATTTAAACCCTCATCATAGCTTGCTGTGTACTGTTTGGGAAACCGAAATTTGCCCAACTGACTTGACCATATGGATTTTACTACCTTTCCCCAAAAAGGGTGACAAGTCAGTGTGCGAAAACCTAAGAGGCATCAGCTTACTGGACGTAGCGGCCGAAGTTTTTACACAACTCTTGCTGAACCGCTTTGTTGTAGCAAGGCATGCACGCACTCATCCTAACCAAAAAGGACTCCGTCCCGGTGTAGGCTGCGTTGATCAAATATTCACTCTACATCGACTCTTGGAGCATCGCCACAAGTTCCAACAACCTACAACAGTCTGCTTCATTGATTTTCGTGCGGCATTCGACTCCGTAGATCGCGAATCCCTCTGGAACATAGTTCTGGCCGATGGTGTCCCAGCCAAACTTGTCAACTTAATGAGATCCTACTATTCTAACACCAGCGCCCGAATCCGTGTCTACGGAGAGGAATCTTGCCTGTTCGGGTTAGGATTTGGAGTACGACAGAGGTGTCCGTTGTCCCCAGTTCTGTTCAACTTTGCCGTGGACAGGATACTGCGTCGTTCGATGGAAGGATACCTGGGAGTTCAGATTTCTTCGAACTTGTGGCTCACCGACTTAGAATTCGCGGATGATATTGTCGTCTTTGGTGAGGATATGTCTCACCTCCAATTAATCGCTGACCGCATCAATCGACGGGCCTCCGAGATCGGCCTAGAGGTGAACACATCAAAAACCAAAACTTTGACGACGGCCCCATCCATCCCGAGAATGCTTTACTACTAAACGGTGAGCTAATCGAATTCATCAAAAGCTTCAAATATTTGGGATCAACCATTCTCCCCAACAGTCAAGCTAAAGATGAGGTGCAAAGGCGCGTCAACGCTGCAACAAGGGCGTTTTTACAGTTGAAGAATTCCCTTTGGCGCAGAAATGAAATTACTCTCAAGACAGAAATCCAAGTTTTCTCCGCAGCAGTCCATCCTGCTATACGACTGCGAAACCTGGCCACTCAGAGTAGAAGACTGTCGCAGATTAGAAGTCTTCGATCACTGGTGCCTAAGAATCATTCTGTGAGTTCGATGGAGGGATCAACTGTCAAATGAAGCGGTCAGAAATCGATGTTTTTATCTTGTACGGCTGAGGACGCTAATACAACGCCGACGACTGCAATGGTTTGGCCACATTCATCGCAAACCTGATAACGACCTGACGAAATCTGTCTTGGCACCGCCTCCCTGCCCGAACTGGCGACGTCGGCTCGGTGGACAGCTAAAAACCTGGCTCGACACGGTGCGAAAGGATACCGAAAACCATGGCCTCCGCTCCGTCTACGGCGTTCGCCAATGGAAGTCAAACTGGATCACAATATGCGCTAATCTTGCCGCAGACCGCCGAGCGTGGGCAGCGGCAATTAGAGATATCCATGAAGCCGACTTATCCTCTCCCGGGAGCCAGCCGCCGTAAAATGAAGTAAGTAAGTACACATCTGAACTATGCAGACCTTTCTGTTGATCAAAAGGGTCGTGCGTCATTAGTTGATCTTTTTGTCTAACGGGAAAAAAGATTTTTAACAGAACACAAGTTGACTGCTTACCAGTTCATTGTGTACACAAGCCACCAAAATCGATCGCACACCACACCCCTAGAGAGATCAAAACCAGGTTTGTCTTCCTGATGTACTTTTCAGAAACGAACTCCTGTAGGCGTATCAAAAGGACTATGAAAACCAAAATCCTGATGGAATATAAGGTGTGGTCTATTGATGGAAAAAAGTTTCACGGGAAATTAATGCACTTTGAAGAAGCCAGGTGGGAAAAAGGGTTGATAAAGATAACACAAATAGAATGTGATAGTTGGATACGCCGCAGTGATCACCGATAACCGAGAATGAAAAGGATATCTGGTGAAAACCCACAATTTTTTTAAACACGAGTATTAACCTGCGAACACCATACATAGATGATTTTGGTATTTGGTCATAGAAACGAAGTCAGAAAACTTGATTAGTTAAAAGAAGATAGCTGATTAACAGCAGTCGGAATAATTCGTGCAGTTAATCACCCGGGGAAACTTGGGTCCCGGGGTTTTCGACCTCCAACGGCACGGGGAGCAGTGCAAATAACTGCGATCATAAAGCCGAATTGCAAGAGTATGCATGTGTGGGTTGAACTATTCCGCTTTAATAAATTGACTGTTGTACTCTGTAGGATTAAGAACAACATTCTAATAACATCATGAAGGATTCGCTAATCACAATCTAAAAATCCCTTTTTAAATAACTTGAGAACATTTCATTCCTGACCGGTTTATTAACCAGTTCAAATATTGGATTGGTCCCGAGAGAAAACACTTTCAATAAAACCTTGTGTAGAACAGGATTATTTTCAGTTATTTCAATACTATCAATGCACAAGATTGCATATGAATATAGAAATGAAACGCGAGATAACAAATTCCAGTTCTGACTATTCACATTTGGTTTTGAAAGTTTGTCTGTCTGCGTAATTGATAGGAGCCTCGAATTTTGAGAGATAAAACACAGATTGAACTGGGAAAGACTCGGAGTCTGAATACATTTTTTCTGGAATTGATACCATTAACTCGAACTCGTAAATATTAAATGTGATCTGAATGCGATCTTTCTGTTGTACACCACAAACTTTGTAAATGGGTCCAAATGCACTCCCCACATCTACTGTGTGAGTTGTCTCAGCGAATAGTGACTGCACTGAACTCACGATTCTCTCAAGTGTGGTCAATCTCAACCGTGACAAGAGTTGTCCAAGAGTGCAATCAGATAGGCAATCAAATAAGGGTGACTGAGTACAAACACGAAGAGGACTGCGTAATCGGTCACTGTCATAGCTGAAGGGCTGAAGCGACCGATGTGTGTTCATATTAGGATCTACCACGAACGACATCGTCAAGTGTGATTTATTTAGGGTGCTTAATTTGGTGCAGGACTCACGACGATCGTTTTTGACTACGCTACTGTCCCTTCAAGAAACACGTGTGTCAAAAATGCCGCAAACGAGGACACAAAGAAGACTACTGTCACACTTAACTCCCTTCTACATCAAAGAGATGTCACAAGCCAAGTCGATCCAAATCATCATCGACAAATTTTGAAACCAAAAGTCAAGCGATCGTGTCTTCCGTCGAACCTGAAATGGAAGAAAGGCGCAAGTATCTCACTGTCCGCATCAATGGTGAGCCAGTACGCCTGCAAATTGACACCGCTTCTGACATAACCTTGATCTCAAAACGAACTTGGCACGCGCTCGGGCGACCCCCATTCAATCTGACCAGCAGGAAGGTATTGAACGTATCTGGCGGACAACTACATCTCATTGGTGAGCTTGTGTGTGACGTTTCGTTCAAAGGCATGCAGATTAAAGGAACCTGTTACTTCACAAACAGACCCTTTTTGAATTTGATGGATCTCGACTGGATTGAGAAGTTCCGTCTTCTGGATGTACCTCTGAACAGCGTCTATCAACGTGTATCTATACACACCGAAAGTGCGTCATCTCCCGAACACTTGTCTGCAAATCTGACGGCAACCCTCAAGGAGAAGTTTTCATCAGTGTTCCAAGATGGTTTGGGATGTTGCACTAAGACCCAAGCTCATCTATGCCTCCGTCCGGATACAAAGCCTGTTTTTTGACCCAAGTGCCCAGTGACATACGCGTCATTGCCAGCAGTCGACCAAGAACTCGACCGGCTCCAACTCGCAGGTGTGATCAAACCAGCCACCTACTCATTTTGGGCCACACTCATCGTCGTGGTCAAAAGGGCTAACGGTACCATTCGAATTTATGCCAATTTTTTAACAGGCCTGAACGATGCCCTGGATGCACACCAGTATCCCCTACCACTGACCGACGAATTGTTCTCCAAGTTAAACGGCGGCACCTGTTTCACCCAGCTGGACCAAGGAGACGCTTACTTGCAAATAGAAGTCGATGAGGACTTACGGGAACTGTTGACGATCAACACCCACTGCGGTCTGTTCCAGTACTAACGACTTCCACTCGGCGTAAAGACCGCCCCTGCGATTTTTCAACAGGTCATGGGCACTATGCTCACGGGTATTGACGGTGCTGCTGCCTATCTGGACGATACATTCGTGACTGGCAAGACACCCGCCGAACTCTCACAACGATTGCACAGTGTTCTGACATGGATCCAGGAATTCGGTTTTCACCTACGTTTGGAGAAGTGTAAATTCTTCATGCCTTCTGTGAAATACCTTGGATTCATCATCGATAGACATCGTCGTCGCCCCAATCCCTCTAACATTGCGGCCATCGATAAAATGCTTCCGCCACACGATGTCAGTTCGCTAAGGTCTTTTTTAGGACTCATGAGCCACTACGCAGCCTTTCTGCCTGACATGCACCGCCTGCGCGCTCCTCTGAACGAACTGCTGAGAAAGGATGCAAAATGTAACTGGACATCAGCATGCCAGCGATCTTTTGAAGGTGTCGAAACAATGTTGCACTCCGACCTTCTGCTGACTCACTTCAATCCAGAACTGAAAATTATAGTGGCTGCCGATGCGTCAAACCATGGGGTTGGTTCCGTCATCTCGCATGTGTTCCCAGATGGACGTGAAAAAGCCATTGCACACGCTGCACGATCCCTGACATCAGCCGAACGTAACTACAGCCAAATTGAAAAAGAGGCCCTTGCTATAATCTTTGCTGTAAAAAGTTCCACAAGATGCTATATGGTCGCCACTTCACTTTCTTAACCGATCACAAACTGTTGCTCGCGATCTTCGGTTCGAAGAAAGGCGTTCCAGTTTACTCAGCTAACCGACTGCAGCGCTGGGCTACTATGTTNTACTATGTTGCTGGGATACGATTTTGAAATACGGTTCCTATCAACGACATAAATCGGTCAGGCAGATGCTCTTTCGCACCTCATTGACCCTCGAAGTCAGCAGACTGAAGACACGGTCATCATGTCTGTGTCGGTGGAATCAGATGTGCAAACCCAAATGACGGACACAATACGAACGCTACCTGTCACCTTTACTGAAGCACAACGGGCAACCAGACAGGATTATATTTTGCAACAAGTCGCTCACCACCATCGCACGCAATGGCCAACGCACATGTCCGGAGCCCTACAACAGTTTTACCGCCGTCGAGAATCTATAACAATGGTGGACGATTGTCTCCTGTTCTCCGAGCGAATCGTCATCCCACAGGCACTGCAACGCAGAGTTCTACAACAATTTTACGCTGGCCACCCAGGGATCAACCGCATGAAGGCCCTCGCCCGAAGCTACGTCTATTGGCCTAACATGGACCAGCACATCGAAGAGCTTGAACACTCCTGCTTCAAATGTGCCCAAGCAGCCAAGGTACCTGTCAAGACCAAACTCCAGCAGTGGCCAAAACCGGTAGCCCCGTGGTCACGGGTTCATGTTGATTTTGCCGATCCGCTCATTGGGCACCATTTCTTCGTCGTGGTTGACGCCTACACAAATGGCCAGAAATATTCCTCATGGAACGTGTACACACCGGAGCCACCATCAATGTCCTTCGTAGCCTGTTCAGCAGGTTTGGATCTCCAGAGACGCTGGTGAGTAACAATGGCGGCCAATTTACATCAGGAGTTTTTTCTACGTTCTGTGAACGATCTGGCATAAAGCACGTCCGTGCGCCACCTTACCACCTNCAGTCAAACGGTCAAGCCGAACGTTTCGAGGACACCTTCAAGCGAGCACTTCAGAAATCCAAAGGGGAGGGTACCACAGGAGAAGTCCTGGAAATATTTCTATTAAACTACAGGGTAACGCCAAATCCCAATGCCCCGAACGGTGCGTCTCCGGCAGAGGCAATGTTTGGAAGAAAAATTCGTACACCATTTGACGTAATCCTCCCGGAGCGTCAGAGCAAAACACCCCTGAAAATCACTCGCCCTACAGCAATGGAGCTGCAGTTCAACCGCCGCCATGGTACGCGGGACCAATCGTTTGTGAGGGGCCAAAATGTTTTTGCTAGGGACTACCGCAATAGCGAAGAAAGGTGGACACTTGGTAGAGTAAATCGACGCCGGGGAAAGGTCATCTACGAGATCTTAGTTGGTTCTGAAATTTGGGTGCTGCACGCCAACCAACTGAAACCGACAGCCTGTAATGATGAACCCAACCCCCGAACAAAACTTTTCGCTGGACATATTAATGGACACATTCGCCATGCCAATTCCCAGTTGCGAGCCACAAAAACCAGCACCCTCAGTAAAGACCGAAGAAACCCTGCAACCTCGACGACAAACGGGTCTCACGCGCAAAGTAACAAAGTCGTTCCAAATCAACCCGAGAGTACGATCCTACGACTAGCCGTCGAACTCAAAAGGGGGAGGTGTTAGGACGGTGCTTAAGCAAACCCGTCCGATCACGAACGCCGAGTCAGGCCACACGGACGCTCGCAACGCTCCAGACAGGCTGAACCTGATTGAATGATCACAGAACGTGTCAGCCAATGTTTGTCCAATAGATCATTCGATATGTTAAGGACACAATCTGATTGGTGCGTCTCTGCGCCGTTCTCGTATGCACGATTAGTTATATATGTTTTGCGTATCGAAGAAAAGGAATTCACGCTGACTGTGGTCTCAACCTGTGTTCTCTCTCCACGTTGTCATTGGGGGTCAAGTTAGAGTCGCTCTTGTCATTCGTACGCCTAGACCAAACACAACAGATACACATAAAGAAATAGTCTCATCAACACATCCTCTTTATACATACACATTTATGAGTCCATACGATCTGAAATTTATACAAGTATCTGCTCGGATTATAACTTCTCGATGATTCCTTATCACTTCAGTTTTCCAATGAGTCATTGCGCTCATTTCCAATTGGATCTTCGTGAACTTAGAAGGGTAGTTCCACTAGCCTCATCTTTCTACAAGTAACGAGACATTATTGCAAAACCCACATTTCTATCTCGTGTAGAAAGCATGGAACCTGTACTGTCTTGTTACATCTGAAAACGTCTCCAGTCTTCAAAAGCTAGTGGTTCTTTTGTTGATGGTTTACCGTCAAGATATTTACAGAACAAGTCACGCATGTGGATTTTTCAAAATCTTATCTCAGTGAAGCAGTTAACACCAATCCAAATAGCTAATAGAACAAGGTGCCAAATTCACCCTTTATATCAAATAGTTTTGTCCTAATGTTTGAACGGCAATCTTTGGATTTTAGAGCTAGCAATTCAAGTATTATCTTATTGATGTTCACAGATGACAAATACCGTCCGATCTGGAGTCACGCACCAAAACGTTTACTCGTTTGGACAGATTTCCTCAAAGTGGTACGCACCGGCTCGACTTGTTCAATAACAAATTGAATAAATGGACACAAGAAATTTCTCCATTGCTTCTACAGACAACATCTACCACAATATTACTTACCAGTTCAGAAATTCGGCTTGATGCAGTAAATAGATCGTTGAGCGCTTGGCAACACAAAGCCATAATCTTCTTGTGATCATGAGCGGTTATCAAAACTGTTAGGTATTTTGTGGGAAGTTCGTGGTTGAGAATATGAATAAAACTATTATCATCATCTGAACTATCATCATCATCATCAACATCGACATCATCATCGTCACCATCATCCAAAAAAACAGCATCATCGTCATCATTATCACCATCTCCATCATAATCCGATTCATCATAATCCGACTCATCGTCATGATCATCACCTTCATCATCATCCAGAAAACCGTTGTAATCATCATCATGGTCATCATCAACATCATCATCATCATCATCATCATCCGAATCACCATCATCATCATCATCATCAACACTATCATCATCAGCATCATCAAATATAATAAGATTCGTCCTCATCCGAAACAGAGTGATACGAAAAATCATCATCATCATCGTCATTATCCAAATTACTTTTGTCATCATCATAATCGTCATCATCTTCATATGATTCACCATCTCCTGAATCGTCATTATCCCACTCAACACCACCATTCGCGTCATCCTGATCTGAATCATGATCATCATCAACATCTACATCATCATCGTAACCATCATCCAATTACTCATTTTGATCGACATCATCAACACCATCATTATCATAATCCGAATCATCATCAAGCGAGTCATCATTTTACAACTGGTCATCATCAACACCATCATCATCATCGTTATTATCCAAACCATCATCATTATCATGATCACCAGCATCACCATCACCCGGATCATTATCCAAATCATCATCTTCCTAATCCGAAACATCATTGTCATCATCATCATCATCATCATCATCATCATCATTATCATCGTCCAAAAGACCATCACACAGCTATGAGTCATCCTCATGAGCATCAGCAGCATGTGATTCATTATCATCATCCAAAGTATCATGATCCGAATAACCACCAACCGATTCATCACGATCATCTAACTCCTCTACATCTGAATCATTATTCTCATCATCATCAACATCATGATCGTCATCATCGTCGGATTCATCATCATCATCCGAACGATCATCATGCGAATTATCATCATAACCATCATTATCATCAGCAGCAGCAACATTATCATCAATATCATAATCATCACCATAATCCGAGTCATCATTATCATTAGTACCATCATTATACTTATCGTCATCCGAAACACCATTATACGAAACATCATGATCATGACCAGTGTCATCCTCACCGGATCGATCATCTCCTTCCAGATCATCACTATCCGATTCATCAACCTCAACTTCATTATCATCATCATCATCATCATTAACATCATCATCCCAATCATCATCATCAATGGAATCACCATCATCCGACCATCATCATCGACACCAGGAATATCCGCATCATCATCCGGATATTCATTATGAATTAAATCATCGTAGTCATTGTGGTCATCATCAGAATCATTATCAACGCCAGAATCATCATCAACATCAACGTTAGCCAAATCGTCATCATCATGCGAATCCGGATAATTGCAAGCATCACCATCATCCGAATCGTCATCGTTTTCATCAGCCGCATCATCATCATCACCATTAGCATCGTCGTCATCTAAATCATCATCTTCGTCGAAGCATCATCATCCGAAACAGTTTTATCATCCTTATTATTGACCTGATCCTCATAATCCTCGTCATCATCAACCACGTCATCCGAAACATTAGCATCAACATCATCCTAATCATCATCATCCGAAGCATCATCATCACCAATATGATTATCTTCGTCAGAATCGTCAACATCAACATCATCATTATACAAATCGTTATCATCATCATCGTCATCATCAACATCAACGTCATCCGAATTGTCGTCATACAAATGATCATCATCCGAATCACCCTCAACCTCCTCCTTCTGCTCATGATTGTCATCATCCCAAACAGCATCATCCGAATTACTTTCATCTTCCTCACTGGAAACATCATTGCATCCATCAGCAAGATCATAATCCGAATCATTGTCATCATCTTCATCGTTATCAACTTCATCGTCATCACCATCAACCGAGTCACCATTATCATCACCATCCATACCATCATCGTAATCATCATCATCGTCATCCTAATCATCACTATCCGCATCAATATAATCATCATCGTCATCATCTTCATCAACACCATCATCATCGAAATCATCATCAGCAGCATCAGTATCAATGTCATCCGAATGATCGTCATCCTCGTGATCATCAAAATCATTAGCATCGTCATCAATATCATTGTTCGAGTCCTCCGCGGATCATCGTCCTCATTTTCAGCATCATCATCATTGTCGGAAAATCATCGCCATCATCCAAAAGATCATTATCTTCATCATCATCATCAACATAATCATAATCATCATGTGCCGAAACGTCTTCATCATCCGAGTGATCAGCATCCGAATCATCTTCAGCATCTTGGTGTTCATCATCAAAATGACGATCATCATCATGAACATCATCACCGTCGTCATTTGAATCATTATTACATTAATAATGATTATCAGTATCACTTCGATCGTCAACAGAAAAGTCATTATCATCCGAAACATAATCGGAATCATAATCAGCTTCCTATTTGGAATCATCATTACAACCATCAGCACGATCATCATCCGAGTCATTATCACGACCATCTGAAACATCCGAAGCATCCTCATCAGCATCCGAATCATCATCATCATGCTCAACATTATCATTACCATCATCATCATCATCCATATCATCATCGGAATCATCGTCATCCGAATCTACTTCAGCATCGTCATCGTTAGCATCGTCAGCTTTACCACCTGGAAGATCATCATCATGAAATTCATCATCATTCAAATATTATTCATCAAAATCACCATACAAAATATATTCAGTATCATCATCCTCGTCCGCAACATCATCAGCCCTCCTCAGAAAGTCATCAACATCATCATCAGCATCATTTTCCTGATCAATATCATCATCATTATCGGAATCGGCATGATCCGAATCATTATCATTTTTATCACCCATTCATCATCATCTGAGTCATCATCGTCATCATTATCATCATCATCATCGATTCAACGACTTACTCATCAGCATTATGGTCATCCGAATTGTGATCATCAGCTTCATCCACATCATCATCAGTCTCATCCAGTCGTCATTTTCCTCACCCTCATCATCAACGAAATAATCATCATCCGCATCATCATTATTATCATCATCGTCATCATCATCCGAATTATGGTCGTCATCCAAATCATGATCCGGGTCAGCATCATCCGAATGATATTTATTTTCCGCATCGGAATCATCATCATCCCAACCAACGTTGGAAGCATCATGCAAATCAAAATCATCATCATCGTCATCCGAGTCATCATTATCATCCGAATCCTCATCCACTTCGTCATTGTAAAAGATTTGTGAATCCTTTATTATCCAAACTTTACCGTTTATCCATTTTTGCGCTACACTATATCCCAACTCGTTGCACTCTATAAAAGACCTAAAATTTATATGCTTTCCCACTTTTTCTAATTTTGTGTAACTGCATTACCGCCCTTTATAATTGTTGATTTTCTATTCTGACCTTGAAGCGCTAGTTAAATCGACTTCGTGTCAATCTAGTCGTGAGTACCTATTTTATATATATTGATACTGTAATTATTTGTAGAACCACGTTGAATATTATTACTGCTGCCCAAAGCCGTTTTTCCTGGCCAGGCCGTGCGTTTAGTCTAGATTCACAGGATCGCTGTTTTCTGCTAGCTATCGTCGTTAGACTTAGCTTATTTGTCCTATCTTACGCGTCGTTTTCCTGCAGTTAGCTGTGTATTGTTCACAGATTCCTTAAGCGCAATTCAAATTTCGTCCTACGTTATATCGGTTATCGTTCCCGTAACAGTCATCATGATCCAAATCAGCATCAATATCATCATGATCTGAAGCATAATCATATGGGTCATCATCATCATCGTCTCCATTTTATATTCATCATTCAAGTCACCATTATACAAAAAATCCTCCTCCTCCTCCTCTTCATTATCATCATAAATATCAGCAGCATCCGAATCATCAACATCACTGTTGCCGTCTTTCGAATGACAAACATTGTCATCCTCAACATCATCTTCATCATAATCATCATCATCATCCGAATCACCATCATTCGAATTGTCATCATCATCTTTATCATCATCGTCATAATCATCTGCATCGTCATCATCCTAATCAGAATGATCATCATGGTCATTCTCATCAGCAACATCCGGATCACCTTCAACCAAGTTGTCACCTTGCTTCATCATCATGATCCTCATTATATTAGTCACCATTATACGGGTTCTCATCGTCATCATCCGCGTCATCATCGCAAACAGTGTTTGGTCTATCATCATCATCATCGTACACATCATCTGATTCATCATCACCATCCAAATCCTCATCACCATTTTTAGCACATTTATCATGCGAATCATCAACATCATCAACATCATCCCAATCATCGTAATCATCCGAATCATCATCATCATCGTCATCTTCATCATCATCATTATCCGAATCACCAATGCACGAGTCCTGATCATCATTATCACCATCATCTTCATCTCTATTGTCTAACAGCTGATCATCATCAAAATTATCGTCAACATCCGAATCATCATCATCCACATCATCATCATCTTCATCATGATCATCGTCATTATTATCACCATCATCCTCATCATCAACACTTTCATCATGCAAATCATCATCATCATCCGAATCGTCATACTGATGCTAACCATCGTCCTCACGATCATCTAGTTGATCATCATCAACTTCGTCATCACCCGGAAAATCATTATAAGCATGACCATTATCATAGTCATCCGAATCGTCATCACCATCTATATTGGCATCATCATCATCAAAATCTTCCTCATCCCTATCATCGTCATCATGATCATCATCATTCGTGTTAACATCAACTTCATTATTGGATTCATCATCATCTTCATCAGAACCATCATCATCCGAATCAACATCATCATCAAAAGCATCATCTTCAACTTCGAGAATCTTCTCGTCATCATCATTTTTTATCAGGGTCGGAATCATCAATATCATCATCATCAACCTCGTTTTCAAAACAGCATAATGGTCATCCGAACTGTCGACCTCCGAACCATCGTCATCATCATCCGAACCACCACGATCATCATTCTCGTCGTCATCAACGTCATCACCATCCGACTCGTAATCATCCTCTTCATAATCATGATCATGATCATCACCATCAAAATCATCATCAACATCCGAATAATCGTCATCCGGATGATCATCATCATTCCTATAATCATCATCCGAGTCGTCATCATGAACCAAATACTCATATTCATCACCGTCATCATCATCGTCATCATCATCGTAATCTTCATCTCAATGACAAACATCAACCGAATCATCATCATCTTCCGAGTCTTCATTATCATCATCATCATCTTCACCATCATCCGCATCAAGGTCGTCACCATTATCATCGTCTTCAACGTCAGCACGCGAATCATTATATTATGATCATCATCATCATGAACATCATCATCATTCGAATGATCATCATCTTGATTACCTACATCATATTTTTCCTCATTATCGTCATCGTGGTCATCATCGTCCTCCTCATCCTCATTCGGATCATCATCATTATCATCCTTATGATCGTGATCCTTCTCCTCCTCATGATCATCATTTTCATCCGATTTATCACTATCGTCGTCAACCTCATCCATATCATCATCATGATCATCATCGTCCGAGGCATCATCATCTCCATCATCCGAAGTTTCATCATCATCCGAAGGACCATCATAGTCACCTTTATTCGAATCTGCATCAGAATCATCGTGTACATCTTTGTGTACGTCAGTCGAATCGTGATCATCGTGGTCATTGTCCGACTCATCGTCATCATCAACATCGGAGACATCATCATCCGAATGGTCGTACAATTCATCATCGCCGTAATTCGAATCATCATAATCGTCATCATCAACATCGTCATCATTGTCAGTCGAATCAACGTCAACATCCGCATCATCGTTACCATCATCATCATCATTCCAGTCATCGTCCTTCGAATTATCATCTTCGGACTCGGCGTCATCGTCGTCATCGTCCTCACCATCCGTTTCATCATCGTCATCATCATCGTCGTCGCCCAGCGAAATACATAGAGCTGTTCTTCACTGATCACATCCGGTACAGAAATCATTGAGGCAGCGAATGGATGCATGCAGGTTTTATTGAGAAATTAACGGGTTGGCGAAGAAAGAATGCATCACATAGCTGTTACAATGTATTCAATTAACCGTTGGTCTCAAACTACTGAGAAGGCAAATCAGGGTGTTGGTGGGATATGTATGCTATAGGAATTTGTAAATAAATGATTGATATAGCCACAAACCTCAAAATAATTGAGGGTTTGAAATGAATAGCTTATGTTACAAAACCTTAGATGCTGTTCCTTGACTTTCTGCTTCCGGTGGATTCTACTAATTTATTATGTTATTTATATAGAGCTAATGGTTATTGATCGTTTGAGTGACATGAGTTAAGTGGAGTTCATTCCAATCAGCTCACTTTACGGTTGTTGATATTGCGTGTTGTTTTCCTATTCCTATTCCGGAGCCGACATACGTATTTGATATTAAAATGGGGTTTCACTGCCTATTTTCCTAGGGAAAAGTAGGAAGGAGAAAACGCTGATCCACCAAACCTTTTTCATCCAACTGAAAACACGCCATGAAGAAAATCGAGATAGTTTCTTAATGGCCGTACATTTTTTCTCTACAGCGGACCTTGGCCGAATGACTAGCCTAAAAAAAGGTTTGACGTTCATTGCATGGAAGAGAAACTTCAAGTTAGAAATAAGAGGTATCTCGTTGGTTGGCTGCACTATTTGCTCTCTAATTATTCAGGCCAGCATCGTGAAACTTGCTCAACGAATAGTGAAACGTAATGGTTATCCTTAACGGTGTATTGCAGTATTTTTCATGAATCCATGGGTATAACTAACTTTCATTGTCGGAAAATCAGCATTGTGTTAAAGATGAAGCAGCGTCAAAAAACCTGTCAGAAATACAAGTTTTATCTTAGCTAAATCCCAGTGTAGCTCATCCGACAAGCATGATACTCAGTGGCCTCAATTCCGAAAATCAAATACACTTCATGAATACATAATGGTGTTTGATACATGGTAGAAAACAAAGTCAGTCGATAATACAGTACAACCGCAAACTAAGACTGCAACATACATTATTTGTAGTTTATCATTTTCCTTCCTGGTAACCTGATTGCGGAATTCAGGGAAGGAATATGTATGTTTAGCCGGAGCGTGATTCCGTGAAGTAATACAAACCACACACACACGCGCACGCCCATGGTGATGAAGCCAACTACAGCTCATCTGGTGTCACGTGTCTCATAAAAACCTCATAAAACTCTTCATCTAAGACAAAGTATCAGAGATCCATTAAAATGGCAAAATGGGTGTATCATATAACGTGAAATGTATGAAACTGGCTTGTTCCCTCATGCGTTCAGCAAATATATATATTTTTTCAACTTCGGAAAATGTTATTTTCCATATGTAAGTGAAATGCTGTTTGAAAGACGTGCAGGGCACAAGGACCAACCCACGCAATTAAGATTAAGATGGGATCAAACGCAATAGCAGTAAACGTGTATATAGTGCTTAGAAAAAACAGCTTAAGCCAGATGTAATTGGTCCAATAAATTATTAATCTATTATTATTAAACTCAATCAAGAACATGTTTATTTTTTCACAGAATAACTCAAGATGGTTTTCATGTAAATTGCTACGAAAAAGTAAAACCTCTGTTCACAGATTATTGGAATTGTGACACGCACAATTGCTCCATCCGGATATCATAAGACGTGAGTAACGAAATTCAAATTTTCCAGGCATCAGCGCACTTTCTGCGCAACGTGCAACGAGTTTGTTTTAAAATGACGTTTATGGGCAGTGAAAGGTCACAAATACTGTGGTGCAAACGTTGCATATTTTCGCCTAGATAGGAATAAATAACCGTTTCTTTGTGGCTTGGTGCTGATGCATGGTGAACATAATAAACAAAATTATAACTTGATTCGTAGCTGAGGATTTGATCAGAAAAACAGACTAAACCCTTTCTTGGTGTCCTCGAAAGATTCGAAACTACAATATGCGGCTCAAGACGGGAATCAGTCCAATGTTCTACGCTATAAATGCAACCAGATTGACAATAACACTACGGTAAACACTGGATGCAACAGTCACAGAGATCGTATTTCAAGTAATCCCTGAGAAATGTTTGGGTTCTGATAGAAGATCTCATTTGAGTCCGTTAACTGTGGTGACTTATTTCAAATAGTAAGCAAGCATAGCTGTTTTTTGGATTGATTGAGTGGTTATCTGACTTTTTCTGTGCAACGACCTGCCAGAGCGATGAAAGCGTCATTCAAAAATTGCACAAACGTATATCTGCGACGTTTGGAGGCATTTGTACATCAAATCGGTCGACAAATAATCAACGACAGCATCTTTGCGACCCACCTCCTTAATTTTCTCGGTTGATAAATTTTCAATTTTTTTTCATATAAAACATATTATCATGTGACAACGGCGTGCCGTGTCGATGTCGACTTGCTAGTCGGTTGAATGAAGCTTTTCCAACTCGGGTTCAAACTGACAGATTCTTAAAAAGTATTTTCAAGCGTACCACGTTAATCTTCATGTAATTATTTAGAGAAAGCGATATGATGATCTCATATTAGCGAATTTCGTGTCCTTTTTATTGACTTTGTTATTATTCTGGTCTATTGTAGTTATGAACAATATTTCCACTACAATAAAACCACCATTTCAGCAAAGACAGCCAGGTGGGTTCAACACATTTTATCAGCAAAATCACTAACAAAATGATTGTCATGGTTTACGAAATCATATTCCCGTTCTAGATAGATGAACGCTTCACCAGATAGGTTATCACATCGTTTTTGTTCACGGAAATGTAAAATGGAGTAAATAGGCACTTCGTTTGGGTTGAACTAGAGGATTCACTTGCAGATAGGCGAATGGGAAGTGGGTGGATAGCACACCAAGCAAAACGTTGTTTGCAAACTGCGAGCCAGCTGCGACATGTCAATCACAAACATTTTTATCAGCACACACAACGGTTACTCATTTAACGACCACGCCTCAGAATTTGAAAATTCGTAGACCATGAAAAATCAGAAAATAGACCGGATAGCACACAACTGAGAAAAAATGTTTATCAAAACTGATCAATGCAAAAAACAATGCTATCATCTTCAACACGGAAGCTCCTTATCAGCTTTCAAGTGAGAGTCCGGGTATGAAGGGACCAAAAACGGTTGCTGTCAAGGCTAGCTCAAAATTACAGTGCATGATGAAATCTTCTCAATTGCTTTCCTAATTCGTAGATTTCCAGACAGAAACAGAATATGGTGGACGTTCCAGGAGTATTTGTGGAACTTATCAAATAAAGAATTTAATCGACTAAAATGTTATAGGAAAATCTACCATAAATTTTACATTTTGTCCATAAATCGATCAGAAAAAGAGAGTTGTTGAAATAAAAACAATGTCAAGGTAGTGACTAAGGGTTCATTGGGAGAATCATTGTACCGGTTGAAAAGAAACCACATTTCTTTATTTCTTTACCAGGTTGTTTTTCTCAGAAAAGGAGTTTAGCAAACCATTGTTGTTTAACACTCTCAGTTCACAGGGAAGCACTTCACTACCGGATAACGTTTTATGTTATACCGGAACGCCTTAGGAAGTTGCAAGAAAACATTCTTAATCATGGATATGTAAAGTAATATGCGAGTAAAATCAATTAAGTCAAACTGGGCGGTACTTGAATGGATTGGACATTGGACTTGACTAATCCTTCCTTTTAGTTAATGTCGTGATCGAGAAATTTCGTTGATTATGCAATGAATTGGGCTTGTTTCTAACCGAGCACTTACTCAAATCAGGAAACATGTAATCGAATTTTTGTTCCCCTCGAATAATTTGCCTCTCAGCCTCAATTATATATTTGAATGTTTCTTCGGGTTTGGGCATGGTGACAACAACGAACCACACACGTCAAGGTCAACTTTAGAAGATGAAATTTCGTATCTTCTGGAATGTATTTTCAGCTATTTCAGAAATAATTAACATGCGTGAGTACGTTATAACCAAATAATTTCTAAATTTAATTCGTTTATTCATTGTGCACTAAATAAAAAGTGATAGTCTTCAAGAGAAATGTGCCCAAACGAATAAACAATCTCATGAAACAGAAAACATTTAGTAAAATGAGTAAGGTTTTCTGCTGCTTTGCATAATTTATTTTCGTAATCGGAACTGTAACTTTTGAACTTCTACACATTTTGACGCGACACATAAGGTCACGCAAACACAAACGGTGAGAGAAGGCAACGGAGAACATAGAAATAGAAAATAAAGTTTGAAATAAATACACGTCACCTATAACCGTCAATATTTACGTTTGACATTAGAAAACGAAATGCACTTCCAAAATGGGAGCCATGTTGCACGAGTTTGAGGAGCACTTGAACATGCCCAGTGACGGATACTTTGGCAAAGTTGCAAACAGAGCAAATATGTAGAACCAAAATCACTGAAATATTTTGCAAGACTTTTGAATAGCAACGCACATCGCCTAGTATGATTATAGTAGTTTTGATCAGAATAAGAAAATGCTTTTTTTACACCTGTTCCTGTAGAGCACATATCACATATTCGGCAACCTATACGATCCGGTAGAAAGTGGGTTTTGTACAGGTGTGCCTGAGACGCTCTTGCCCTTCTTATTCAATTAAAAACGGTTGCTTTTGAAAGATAACAAAAGACGTTCAGGATTGTATTTTCGGGTACACACGCCAGTAACATGATCAAAAAATCAAATCCTCTCCCTATTCTTAGTGATTATCAGGTGTATCATTCAGAAATTCGATTGTAGACAAAGTGCACCCTTAGTCATCTAAAGCCGCTTTTTTATCTAGCTCCTCGTTTGAAGTATGCAGTATAATGCAATTTTAACACTGGTTATGATATTTTACGCGTGTCTTCCGCTCAAAAAGTAGGAATTTTTATATTCTTTTACTATATATATATGATTTTTCAAGCTCTACCCGTAACAATAAAGAGGCAAATAAAAAGGATTTTTGTGTATTGCTAGGGTAGACGGATTGTTAGTTTTTGCTGGCGAGATGACGGTAGTGAAATCAGAACACTCATCAGGGACAATATGGTTTTGATCTACCGCTAGTACCCCGCCATCGCGATACATTGATTAATCACTATTCAGAATAAATTGTTCTTTTTTCCATACGGCATACGAGTGTATCTCTTCCGTCTGTTCTGCAGTCTAATCTGTTACGTTTGGTTTCGTTATTGTTAACTACTCTCGAATCTCTTTTAGCGCACAGATGCTCCGCCAATTCCAAAACGGAAAATGCAATCAACTGTCGAAAACTGCGGTTGTGCCATTTGCGTTGTAACCATCAACAAAACAAAAACTATAAAGTACACAAGACGGATCGTACCAATACCTGTTTTGTAAATGCACAACAGACCACATTCTTTAGTCCTCAAAGGAGTAAAATGAAGTTGCAACTTTACATCTGGTGAAACGTCTTGTTTGCGAATAAATGCGGGGACTTAGGCCTCGGAGAATTCAATTTATCTTGTTCCAATTAGGCACAAAAATGGGAAGTCATCTTAAGCAAAGATCTCAGCGCGCCGCTAACTGCAGTGATGAGTAAGGAATGTTACTTCTATCTGTCAGCCGGGTATCCGTGTTTATGTGCATTTTTCCTGGTATAAATGGTTCGATGGAAGCAGCATATTTGCAGTTATGTGAGGTCTTCATTATTTTGTCTAACAAAAGAACAAATCTGATGCTACATTTATTCTTACTAGATTGTGATACGGGACTATTTCAGGTGAAGGAGGATTTTTCCGCATGGACTGAATGTAATTTGAACACACTATTTATCTGTCACGTTCTCATACCAAGAATGACTTCCAAATACAGACAGAAGAATGTATTTTCAAAGACAATAAAACCTTTAACAGGTTGTGCCGGCTTTTTTGTTGCAGTTGGAGTAGGCCAGCTTGCATGAATTCGTTTGGTGAAATGTTCACTTAAGAGTTATCATACACCTGTAGCGTTTTACAGACAGAGTCCTGTATACAAAACACAATTTATTACGCCGTTATTCCATCGACCGACCAGACAATTTTTGTTCCACCCGAGGGGCATATTTTCCCATTATCAGAAAAATGTTGAGATGAAGATGTACATTTCCTTGACTTTTGTCAGTAACTGCTTGTTAGAGTGGTCTGCAAAAGGTGACATACAAATATAACTTTTTATTAGGAAAATATGGTTTTTTATAAGGACTTCAGGTTGGGTTAATCTTGTGCACTTTTACACTCTTTTGGAATTCCAGCTTGACGGCATTTTTGTAAATATCCCAGATGTCCTTTTTACTAAAACACCGGTCCCTAATAATACATCCGACCACCGTACAGTTTTTTTGCACCCAAAATGGCAAAATGTTTCATCGCCAACAAGCATAGGTTGCATCTGGAACAATACGAAGGGAGGAATTTTACGCATGATAAATCATCTCGACTTCAAAATATGATCCTCTCAACCGATTATTCTGTCTTCTCCAATTCCAATAATTCTTTCAGATGTAAACATATAACCGGTTACTTTAATTTCCGTTTTAATTTGTGTTGCCTGATCGAGACAATATATCCATACTGACAGAGTTTCATCACCTCTCTTGAAACGCCTTCAACATAATAAGAAGCCATATACGAATGACAGGCGCTACGATGTTAAACGACTCTTGATTATCACCAAGGCAGAGTTTCAGCGCTTGAGTTCGATATATGTTGATACCATCCTGAGCAACCAGAGCTAACGGGTGCTGTGGTCGGCGTTGAAGCAACTCTGAAGCACACTTAGGAGCTGTTCCACTGACGTAGAAAAATTAAACCAACAATGCTATGGATCCTCTGGTTCCAATTCCAAATCGTCCGTTTGCAATTCACCAGAAAACACCAACCCTGTTTTCCCGACCGGGGTTGTCAAATGGATAAACTTTTTGGCCCCTATTTTAGTGAAAACATGTGCCGAACATCTTGTACCATTCGCTGCAGAGTTGTATAATTTGTG